CAGGCGCGAGCTCCCCCGCTGGGGCCGCTTGGTGCCGCCCGAGCAGGTCGCGTTCCCCCGCCCGGCCTGGGGCGGTGGTTCGGCCCGGGGCGTGGTGGGAGCTGCTCCCGGACCAGTGCAGTCTGCGCTCCAGGCCAGCCCTCTGGCCCATCCTGCCTCCTTGCCCTAGCGAACTGCCCCTCCCTGGAGGCCCCAGACACTGGAAGCCCATGCCTGAGCCAGGAGAAGTCCGGACGCGGCGCCCTCGGGACACACGTACTGCCTGCGTCGCCCCCGCTGACCCGGGGGTCTCCAGGGACATCCAGATCGGTGTGCTGGCAAGAGAGGCTGCCCCGAGAGGGTCTTCTGGAGCCCAGGTGGCAGTTGCCCCTCGAGTGCATGTGCACCTTGACCGGGCTCCCTGCGGGCGGCTCTGGCCCTGGGGCATTCAGACTGCCCCACCTTCAACGAGACAGCCAGGGACAGCCTCTGACAAGAGCTATTGGACTGGGTGACCTGGGGAGATTTGGCCCAGGCCCCTTCTCTTCACACCCCTATCCCCACCCTCCCAGCCAAGGCCAAATCCAAAAGCATCCTGGCACCTAAAGCCAAAGGAAGGTGGTTGCACCCCATCTGTTCTGGGGACACTGCCAGCCAGTAGATGCTGACTCATAGCGACTGACCATCAAGACAGGGTAGAACTGCCCTGTGAGCTTCTGAGACTGTAATTCTTCACTGGGGTAGAAAGTCCCATCTGGGTACAGGGGCCCTCAAACCCTGTGTTACATCTTTTCCCACCTATCGTCAACTCAACCAGAGCTGGGGATGCCCTGGGGATCCTGCTTCTCACCCATGCAGATCTTGGTGTCTGGCCTACACCCCATTTATGCCCAGACAGGGCTCCCCACTGGCCACAATCCCTGCCAGACAGCCCACAGCCGGCACCATCATGAAGACTGGGTGCCTTATGCTGGGGCGCAGGAGGCAGAGGCTGCTGCTCTGAACCTCAGGAACTTGTCCCTGCCAGGGAGCAGAGAAGGAACTCAGGTGTCATGGGGCTGTGGCCACACATGGATGGGCAAGAGGCAGAGGGACATAAAACTGTCTCCTGGGGTGGAGGTGGGGCGGGGGGCAGAAGAGCAGGGTCAGCAAGGTCTGGATCACAGGGGTCCTAGCAGAACCTCTAGCATCTTTGGAGCTCTGAGGAAGCCATGCCACACGACAGGCATGACAGGATTAAGGAGAGGCGGGAAAACAGGGTAGCAGCCCCTGCCCCTAACCCCAATCGATGCCCCCCAAGCCTGCCAGTTCCAACTGCACTCCTCGCCATGCTCTGCAGTGGGCTGGAGTGTGAAGTTCATGAATACAGGGTCCTTGACAGAGGCAACCAGGAAGCAGGAAGGGGACCATGGAGGCAGAGGTGGGAGGCTGTGGCTCTGCATCTGGGAGGGCCTGGGCCCACCTGCAGTGGGGTGGGGTGTGGACAGACATTCCTCTTCCCTGGCCTGGAATAAAGACTAAATCTCTGTGGTTTTAAGCCCCAGGGTGTAGTGGTTTCGTGTGAGACTGCTAACTGCCAGGTTGGCAGTTGTCCACAGAAGAAAGACAGGGCTTTCTACTGCTGTAAAGAGTGGCAGCCCCGAAACCCATAGGGCATTTCTATCTGTCCTAAAGGGTCA